TGAAACCCAAACTTGCAGTCGTAACTGTGGCTGTTCCAAACGAGGACGTGGACCATTCACCTAGCACAGGAATCAGCACCTCCCGACAGCCACCTGTAAAGCAATGGGCTGGCTGCCTCTTGCACAGAGAGGCCAGCGTTCAGCAATCCGTGAGCTCGCTCAGAGCTCTCCTTCCCTTTCCCCAGGGACAGTGCGGTATGCCTGCTAATCTGAACTGCAAACTTGCCTATTACACTTGAATTTCACATCAGATTTGAGCTCCATCTTCAGCCCCGGTAGTACACAGGACTCTAGGTTAGCTGCTATGATTTTGCCACCTGCCTTGAGGACCTCTCTCTACGAGCACTCTGTAAATGAATCTGTCCCTGGCACTTCCCCACCACACGGTGATGCTGACCCTCTTTGTTTGCTGACTTTGGTCTGGGAACCTCCGAACTTGCGTGCTTTCTGAACGGTGCATCATGGGACGCGCTGCACAGATTGGCCCCGAGGGCGATCAGCAACACTGACCTCTACTGTGACGCCATCCGCGTAGCCCTAGAGGCTTGGTGCCTAACTGGATTTATAGCCCAGCTCTGGCCTTTTCCTGTAATAGTTGATGATTAGTGTTTCACAATCCAGCTTCAAATGCATCCAGAACTTTCCACCCCTGAGTTTTCCCCTTCTAGGCGGTAACCTTCAGCAACATGCTGATTCGCTGGTAAAACCTGACTCGACTTGATAGTTCTGGGTTTAAAAAAAAAAACCCAGAACAGAATAGGAGAATCTTCACCTCTTGGGTCCTTATTAATCCGAAAGAAGTCTCCCCCTCTTCCTGCCCCCCCTCCAGCCTCCTGAAAGGCCCAGTGATGTGTGTGGGGTTGGCTTATGGACTTGCAGGCCATTTTTAACTGGTAGAGTATTCAGCATTCGCGCTCTAACTCCTGCTGCAGTAGCATGTAGCACGGTCTGGTTTTTTGCTCCTGAGTGATTCATTTAGTATGGTTGCAATTTGATGTCTATTACTTCAGTCACTTCCCTGTTCATGAAATTGGTGACATGCACGGAGGCTTATGGCATCCTTAAGTGAATCCAGCAGCAGGAGAAAACCGTTTATCAAGGGGAGATTTTACTCCTGCTCCTAGCTTGTCAATTAATGAAGCTACAGAGAGAAGTGTGTAAACAGTGACTGATATTAGAATTCTGGCGTTGCCTTTTTTAATTGTGGTCTGCGAGATGGGACCAGATTTGGGAAGGATGAATACACACTCAGAGCAAATGGATAGCCACACAGATCTGTACAGTGTGCAGGGACTGTACCTTGCTGGCAGAAGATCATGATGCGGTCGCAGCTTGGAAGAGTTGCATGCATGTATGAACAGTAGGGGCTGTTGTTTTCATCGGTGGACGGGGACGCCACCGTGTTTATTAGGAGCAAGGAAGGTGGGACAGTTTTGCCTCCTGATCCATCCCAACATACTGTATACTATTTTAAAAACCTGCAAGGCATCTGTACTGAGTAAGAAAGGCAGAGAAAGGGGCCAGATCATCTCCTAGTGATGTAGGAGATAGTGAACATGGTACATCTCTGTTCTAATTGCTTGTTCGCTCCCATGTTTTTAACCAGGTCCTGGAGCTGGTATGAAGAGTTTTCTCTCAAGGTGTGCGGTACTTGGCCTAGCCTGACGTGCTACAGCTTTCGTCTGGGATCCTCAGTAGGGCAAGAAACCAAAACCACCTTGATAGTCCTCTCTACAACCATCATGTTTGGGGTGTTTTTTTTCCATTTACAGACTAGGACCTTTTGAAACACTGGGAACCCCAGTGAACTGTCTACCATCGAGGTTAACTCCACGGACTTTGGTGCTGCTGCTGGTGGTGGTGGTATGGTTGTCTAATTTTTATGATCGGGAAACAAATCCTTTTAAATACAGACAACAAAAAGGAATAAAAGATTATTGAGCCACAAGGTGAAGCTGGAAGATTCTCTCTCGTCGCATATGGGAACAGATTTACTTGGGCAGGGAGCTAACAGGACCACCAAAGGGCTGTACTAAGGAATCACACACTTCTGGGTCACCTGACCTGGACATTTCTTCTATCCCCATGGTGGGGGCTGGGAGAGTCTCTCTCCGCCTTACCCGGACATGGAAGCAGATTGTTTTGAGAGCGTAAGATGTATGTGGTTTAGTTGTGTGTTGATTTTTAGATGCATTCAGTGTTCATGAAAATTGCTGGGTTGAAGTCCTCCAGCTACCAACAGGAAAGTGACAGCTTCCCCCTCACCCACCCAGCACAGCTCCCCCTCCAACCTGGGGCCGGGGGGCAGGGCTGGGGAATTGCTTGTAAGGACAGGGTCATTCTGTCTCCATGCCCACAAATCTGTGGCCCCTGGGCAGCCTGCCAGCACAACAAGGGTACCAACTGTGACGTGGACATCTGCAAACTGGACCGACTCCACCGAACTATTTCGCTGGCCGCCAAACCGCCGTTGGCTAATGACTTCCTGTTGCTGCTGAGCAGGGCTGGATTTGAATCCTTCCGCTCCTGTTCCCAAAGCCCTACTCTGCCATCCGATCTGCTGCGTGGCCTGTTTGTCCCCAGTCCCTATCGCGTGTGGAAGCCAAGCATTCTGAATGTTGTAATGAAGGGGGAATTGATCGTAATGTGTTTCAGAGCCGTGGTACAGGAGCTTTATTTTTAATAACCAGGCATACACTTAATTGTACATACAAAGAGGGGGAATAAACCATGATGCTGAGTGTTCAGTTGTTACTTTGTTCAAGCAGACAGATCACCGCTTTGTGCATGGCAATAATACCAAGCTGCCAATGTCTCTGCCGCAGCCTAAGGTTCAAGCTGAATGAGCAATTTTATCTGGTTCCAGGCTCATCTGCCTGAAGTATTGATGGGTGCATGGTGATACCGGATGGAAATATTTTATTTACAAATGTCCCACTTGAATTCACTCTCTTCCCACATCCATCTTCCCCCTCGTGGGCACTGGGCTCGGCTTAGTAGAAGGGAGAGTCTTGCGTTCCGTTTTTGAGCGAGCCTGAATGGCATACTCGCTCATCCAAAGGTTAGCGGCTGTGAAGCTTCCTGGAAGAATGAGGGGGGCGATCCTTCTAACAGAGTAAAGGCGGCCTTGAGGTGAATGCGGAGGGCTGGGATTGCGGAGTCTAATGCTGACTGCAAGACATGCCCCCGGTAACATTGGCGAGTCACTTAGCTTCTCTGCGTGCTATTACTACCCGCTGGTGAGGGGGAGACGTGCTAGCCGTAGCTGACGGGAGTTGAGGGGTTTGCTGGTGCTAATTTGCTTATAAAGTGCTTTGAAAAACCCAACTGGGAAGACGCTGTAAATTAACAAAATTACTGTCGTCGTCCAGAGGACTGCGTCTGGCATGGAGGAGGAGAATGAGGGTCCTCGACTCCAAATGCAATTTGGATGTGGTTTCTCAAGTGCTTTGTTTTCTTCCCTGGCTTCCGCTTTGTGTCAGGGTGAGCGGGGAGGGATGGGGAAGGATCAATCCAGAAGCAAGAGGGAGCAACGCAGCAACTGCCCTTCCCCCTCCCAGGCTCAGCTCCGCCTTTCATTGGTTTTCCCCACCTCCGTATCCTTTCCCAGGTGGCTTTGCATAACGGCCGGCTGCTGTGCCTTATTTTAGCAAGGGGGGGGGGGGGTTTCTTGACATTTGATTTGATGGTTAATGTATCAGCCGTTGCTTTCATAGGTCTCCTAGTTTTTGGACCTATCACTTTGCAAGTGGTTCTTCCCCAGTCTCCATTTTGGGGGGGGGGGGTGTATTTTCACAAAATGGCTTTTTGGAGTCTCGCCCCCCCCTTTATTTTTAAAGAAATTGCCATGGGGATTGTGTGACGTGGGTTTTTTGTTTAGTTTTTGTTTTTAAGATATAGACCCCCTTCCCTGGTTTTGGATAATAGAGGACACTGGCACAGAGCTGGGTGAAGTAGCCGAGTGTTGGTCTATGCTGATTCCAAATAGCCACTCTCAATAGGTGATGTTACACAGACCTCAGTTGAAAACAGTTTTTAATTGAAAATGTTTTCTGCCAAGGCTGAGCTCTCAAGACGAGAAGCGAAATACAGACCATGTATGCTCTGCGGCTACTTCGCAAATTAAATGGAAAGCAGTTTAAGTTCCTTGTTTTGAAGTTTCCATTTTACGTCAATCGAGATAAATGCAAATTCAATGTCTGGCTCTAATTAGAAGCACAGCAGCTCACGAATGCAGCGAGGCTGTTTCTCTGGAAGATGTTTTCTGCTTTTAATCCCCTTAATTTTCTTTCCTCCAGGTAACCCTTCTGTGTATACATGTCATATAATTACTTCCCATAAGCTGTGTTAGCAACACTCGTCTAAAGCTCTTTTGTATCTGTGGTATTGCAATCTGTTTTTAAGCCCCTTCCTTCTCCCAGGGGTGTAGCCTTGCTTGACGTTGTAAGTCCAGAGGTAAGTGTGTATTATGGTAGCATTCAAATATCCTCTTATGTGTGGAGCTGTACAAATACAGAAGAGAGATGATCCCTCTCAGGGTTGATTGTGTAACTGTCTAGGCACACCTGAGATCCTGTGACAGCCTCCACCCAACATGCCTTTTAGATGCAGTTTGCTCATTGTCATAAGAACAACCATGCTCGGTCAGACCAGTAGTTCATCTAGGCCAGTATCCTGTCTGCCAACAGCGGCTAATACCAGGTGTCCCAGAGCGAATGAACAGAACAAGTAATTGGTCATTCACAGCTTCTGGCAAAGAGACTAAGGAGACACCATCCTGATGGACCTGTCCTCCATGGATTTATCTAGTTCTTTTTTGAACCCCGTTAAAGTCCTGGTCTTCACAACATCCTCTGGCAAGGAGTTCCACTGGTAGACTGTGCGCTGTGTGAAGAAAAACTTCCTTTTGTATCTATTAAACTTGCTGCCTGTTAATTTCATTTGGTGACCCCTAGTTCTTGTGTTACGAGTGAGTAACACTTCCTTATTTACTTTCTCCACACCAGGGATCATTTTATAGATCTCAATCATATCTCTTAGTCATTTCTTTTCTAAGCTGAAAACTCCCAGTTTTATTAATCTCTCCTCATATGGAAACTGTTCCATAACCCTAATAATTTTTGTTGCCCTTCTCTGAACCTTTTCTAATTCCAATATATCCTATTTTTGGAGATGGGGTGATGACGTGTGTGCAGTGTTCAAGATGTGGGTGCACGGTGTCTCTATATAAAGGCAATATGATATTTTCTGTCTTATCTATCCCTTTCTTAATGATTCCCAACATTGTTTCCTTTTTTGACTGTTGCTGCACTAGGGATGTAATAGTGTAGCCAGTTATGATTAATGCTACCGGCTACACACCCACCCCCGTGGCTCTGCATTTAATGTATTTTGGAAGCCGATACGCTGGCTCTGTCCCAGCTCATGCCGGGTCTGGCAGCTGCCCCCACTGCAGCTCTGCATTTAAAGCTCTTGCCTCCTGGACGGCGCTCTAGCTTTTTTTTAAACACAGAGCCGCTTATCGGTTAATCAAGTAATTGACATATGTTTATCGGCTTCATGATTAGCGAATTACACGCTTCCCGATATCCCTATGCTGCTTTGAGTGGATGTTCTCAGAGGACTCTCCACAATGACTCCAAGATCTCTCTTGAGTGGTTACAGCTAATTTAGACCCCCTCATTGTATCTGTATAGTTGGGAGTATGTTTTCCAGTGGGCATTGCTTTGCATTTATCAGCATTGAATTTCATCTGCTATTGTCACCTTTCTGAGAGCTCCTTTTGTAGCTCTTCATTCTTCCTGGGTCTTAACTATCTCAATTAGTTTTGTATCCTCTGCAAATGTTGCCACCTCACTGTTTAACCCAGTTTTTATCCAGTTCATTATGTTGAATAGGACTAGTCCTAGTACAGGACCTTGAAGGCCACCACAATTTGCCTCTCTCCATTCTGAAAACTGACTATTTATTCCCACCTCCTGTTTTTTAAACCAGTTACCAATCCACGAGAGGATCTTCCCGTCTATCCCATGACGGCTCACTGTGCCTAAGAGCCTTTGGTGTGGGATCTTTTCAAAGGCTTTCTGAAAATCTAAGTATACTATATCCACTGGATTCCCCCTTATCCACATACTTGTTGACCTCCCCAAAGAATCGAGTACATTACACCTAGTGTAGGCACATCCTCTGTTAACGGTCTATCAGTTTGCAACTGCTAGTATAGACTGCATGAAATGCAGTGAAGAAGCTATAGCACAGAGATAGAAATGCCTGAAGGCTGCCTGTTCTAATTCAGTGTTTCTCAACCTTTTTCTATAAAGTACCCCCTAAAAAAAAAAAAAAAAAAAAAAAAGTACTCAGTTTTCAGGCACACAATTTTTTTCTACCATTACAACACATTTGTTTAAATAATTTAATCATAATCGGGTGGGTAGTGAAATGTTTGGGTATAAAAAGTACAAAATAATAAAGCACTGTAGAACTTAAAACAAAAATTGTTTTCTCCAAATTTCAGTTGTTGATGTACCCCCCAGACTTCTCTCAAGTACCCCTAAGGTGGTTGAGAAACACGGTTCTAACGTTTGCTTATCCTGCTTGTGAAGAGGACGCTCTGTAAACAGGTATTGTGCATACAAAGGATGTACTGTGTATATGCACACGTACGTATCGTACACACTCCTGTTGTCAGTGTGCTGGATGTTTACCCGCTGATGTGCCAAACTCGGCTGTGGACTACCCCATCATAAGGCATTCTATGCCAAAGGACCACCAAACTCCAATGAAATGCTATGCATGCAGTGTTACACCTGGAAATCTGTTGGCTTTGTAGTCCCACTTCTTGAAAATGCAGCCGTTTTAGACAGCCTGCTGAAGTGCTTTGACTATAAACAAGCGTAATTCCCGTAGGTGGGGATAGTAAATTCTCCCTCCTAAAAAGCAACAAACTTCAAAATCCTGTGCAGCAAGCCTGCCTACTTCATGGACTATTTGAACATTTGTTTAATAGTCCCAAGGCTGCTTCTGTGCTGAACGTTCATTACTAGGGGGAATGTGAAGCGATGGTCAAAGGGCAGTGTAAAGCCTGCAGTGAATGATTGGAAAGGAAATTCTCTTACTCTTCCATCACTTTTTCCTGCCTACAGGAACTCTTCTCTTCCTCCTCCCCTGCAGCCTCCTCGCCTTTCACAGCACTGGCAAATACCCACCAGGACCTCCAATGGCTGGAGGGCAATATACTGAACGCACTCTAATGTGCGGCTTGAGCAATCATTTTGTTGTTTTGACGGCTTGAACAGAGCGCTGGGAGTACTTCCCCATGCACGCAGAAGCCTTGATGCTGGTGTCCTGGCTGATTGCCAAGTTGGGTAATTATTGTTTTGCCTACTTACAATCTCCTTGCAGCTTCAAGTGAAGAACTTTTGCTTGAAGGCTTGTTTGGCATTGCTGGAAAGGGGCAGCAGGTGTGTTCCGCTCGGCCACTGTTTCAGTGGGGAGCAAACGAATCCCGTAAGAGTCTAGGAAGTGCTTTGTCCTTCAGGATAACATTAGTGTGGCAATGTGAGGCAGACACACACATTGTCATGCATGTTTTGTACAGTATATTGAATCCTTCATGTCCTGCATTATTTTCCAGTTTGCTTTTACACTCTACCCATCAGACTTAAGGTCTTCTCCTCCTTGGCTTTGCTGGAGAACTGATGGGAGGTGGGAGGGCATGTCGGATGAATAAGAGGTAAAGGGGTT